AACCGGAAAGGAACTTGATTGTGTAAAAGCAGGGTTCAGGCAGGTTCAATCAAATGTCTATTCTTACGCTTAGCAACTCCATTTTGTTGTGGAGTATAAACACAAGAGGATTGATGGAGAATTCCTTGAGATGTCATGAATTTGGTAAAGGGAGCAAAAAAATATTCATGAGCATTATCACTTTGAAACGCACAAATAACATCATTAAATTGTGTCTTAATTTCAGCACAAAAGGATTCAAATATAGAAAATAATTCAGAACGACTTTTCATTAAAATAACCAAGTGCAATGAGAATAATCGTCAATAAACATAACAAAATACTAAAACCCTAAAATGGACGAGACTCGATAAGTACCCCAAACATCGAAATGAACAAACTCAAAAGAGGACATAGCCCATTTATTGACACGCTTTGGAAACATACTATGAGCTCACAATTTAAAGACGATAAAGTAGATAGGCCTGGAACCATCTTCTGAAGCTTTGTTAAACTAGGATGACCTAAACGATTATGAAGGAGAAGAGGAGAATCGGAGACAGTGCAGGCAGTAGGAGCAAAAGGTAACTTGAGATGATAAAGGCCTTCTGACTCATGTCCTGCGCCAATCATTCGTCCTGTGCTGCTTTCCTGTATACCCATTAGTAAAAGTGATAGAACAATTTAAAGAGCAGGTGAGTTTACTGGCAGATAGAAGGTTAAAAGGGCAATGGGAAATATACAAGACAAAATCTAAAGTCATGGAGGAAAGTGGTTGTGCACGACCTACTGCTTTAACAACTACTTTGGTCCCATTAGCTAAGGTAATAGGAGACAAAAAGGTAGTATTAATAAGATGAGAAAGCAAATGGGGGTTACCAGAGATATGATCTGATGCACCACAATCAAGAACCCAAGACCCTTGAGGAGATGAATGAGTGAGGCATGCAACTGATTTTCCTGATTGAGCGATGGAACAACAGATGAAGAAGATTGCTTATTTGCCTGGAACTGGAGATATTCGTCATAATCAGCACCCATAAGAGTCAACGATGGCTGACTTTATTCTTCAGAAGATTCAGAATGATGATCATGATAAGTGACATTGGCAACCCGAGGAGGACGCCCATGTAATTTGTAGCATTTTTCCTGGATATGCCTCTACCTATGACAATAACTACACTTGGGTCAACCTCCCTTGCCACTACGATCCCCCTTTTCTCCTTTAACAAAAGTTTGAGACTGAGAGGCCAGGACAAAAGAATCAGCTAGGGAAGATCCAACCATAACACCAGGGGAGGAGACTCGAAATAATCGAGCAAAAACTTCATCAAGAGAAGGCACAGTAGCACTTGCCAGAATATGATCTTATACTGGAGTGAGAGCAGGACTGATAGCGGCAAGAGTAAAAACCATAAAGAATTTGTCTCGTTGTACTAGATCTTCTGCTTTAGACTTGCCAACGGGTAATAACAAATTAAATTCTACCTTGAGAGAGGCCATCCTGCCAAGAAAGTCAAATATGCCCATATCTTGCTGTTTGAGATTAACCAAATTGCACACAACATAATAGAGTCTCCAGATATCATTAGTATAAAGCAATTTGGCCTGTCACCATACCTCAAAACAAGTTCGATATATTTTATAAGTAGAATGAAGGTGAGGGTCAATAGACTGCCGTAATAAACCACACCCAAGTAGTCTTATCATCCGTGACATCTTTAGCCTTAGTGGTCAAGTGATCCTCCAGACCATGTCCCATACACCATAGTTCAATAGAGGCAACCCATAAGGAATAATTGGAGCTGCTTATCAATTTTTCAGTTGTGATTGGAGGAAAAGACAAAAAAGAAACAGAACCTGATTTGGTGTTGGATCCTTCAGGTAGCATGATAGTCTTATGGGAGAGATTGAGCTGATCTGGGCTGAAAAACAAAACTAATTCTGGACAGATTGGAAAAAGAGGATATTCCGGTGGTAGTGGGCTATTTTCGACGTCGGTGATGACAATGTAGCGTTGGATAGTAAAGGTGCTCGTCGATGGTGTTTGAGTGCACAAGTGTCGACGGTGAGACCTCACGTTCGTGGGAAAAAGAGATCGAAGAAGAAGTTGTCGGAAAGAAGATCGGCTCGTGCGGTGGCAACTAGCGATGAAATTTTCAGGTTTTGCCGACGAGGAGAAGACGAACAGGCTGGTGTGGTTAGAAGAGTGATTAAACACTAGAAGGAGATAGCCTGAACTTCGTCGAAAAAAGAAAAGAAAATTTTTCTAGGCTTTCTGATTTCTTAGCTCTAAGACCGTGTGAAATTATAAGAATTTTCTTCATATTGATTGTGAACAAAATACAACAATATATACACATTCAACAATCCATATAAGGAAATGAAATAATCTAAACTAGGAAAGGGAATGCTCTAATTTCCTATTCTAAAGATCCTATTCTTAAAACATTTGATTTGTACAACTCAACAATTATAATCTTAATTTAAAAAAAAAAAAACTAGAAATAACCATTTTTATTACACATTTAAAAAAACTTTTGTACCATTATTGATCAAACAAGATGAAAGTCGAACTATATGCATGTTTCATAACCATATTATCGAACCACAATTAAAAAATTAATAAATATATTGTCACATCATTATATCATCTCTGACTTTGATACTTGACAAAATATTTATTGTCCATCATTTGAAAATGTATCAATAAGATTTTATTATCAGTAAATCACATTGTTTCTTTATCATAATAACTTAACATCTTGTTGAACCATTATTAACTACCTAACTAATATGTTGCACACTTAACAAAATATTTATAACGATTTTCTTTAATATTGTACAGATAATCTACTAACGTTTCGTATTACCTTATCCAAATTACTATTAACACTTTTTCGATTGACACGTTTATTTATTACCAGATGTTTGTTCATATTCCACATTTTCGTATCTTGTACTCCTATAAATATTATTTTGATACTTGACAAAATATTTATTGTCCATCCTTTGAAAATGTATCAATAAGATTTTATATTGTAAATCACATTGTTTCTTTATCATAATAACTCAACATCTTGCCGAACCATATTAACAACCTAGCTAATATGATTCACACTTAACAAAATATTTATTACGATTTTCTTTAATATTGTACAGATAGTCTACTAACGTTTCGTATTACCTTTTCCAAACAATTATTAACCCTTTTTCGATCGACACGTTTATTTATTACTAGATGTCTGTTCATATTCCACCTTTTGTATCCTATTCTCTTATAAATATTGCTCTAATATCAATCACCCATTTAACTTTCTTCAAATACTATACACTGCAATTGTTCATTTCTTCTCCAAAACTTAATTCAAAAATTGCTGACAAAACATCACAACCAGAAGAATATACAACGAATACCAGCAATGACCTCAACAATAATAATTCTCCACCGAGGCAACCAGAAGGTATAAACATTCCACATCTTTTGTATCCTAAATTACAAAATCGCAAACAAAACCATGATACATATTTGCAGGAATATAAAAACCACTAAATTTTTTTTTTTTTTTTGATATGTCGAGAGTTCATCTGATAATTATATTTACACATTCATGTTATCCATGTATTTATAAAAATTGATTGTATATTGTTTCTGCAACTGGTTTAGACATTTTTCAGGGAATGTCGAAATTGAGGGAGATTTCAAAAAAAGTTGAGAGCAATCTGGATGATCTACATACTGCAAGAGACAAATTTGCAGAAGTCATTGACCAACTGTTACAAATCATGGAATCTACCATGGATGTTATTTATAACCTAAACATAAGAGAGTATGCACATGCACTAGAGGAACTGAACAACTATAAGAAAAATAGAAAATAAAGTCTATATTGTCCAAACCCACTTCACAGTATAAAAAAGCGATGTACTTATTTCTTTTATAATAAAGGTTTTATTCTCTGTATTCAATTTTATTTTGATTTTGGGGTTACTCATTAATTGATTGAAAATGGTTCTCCATCGTAACACGTTACTTTTGATTTAATTCTTCCATCTTCAGACATTGGATGAGTACTAACAATAATTATATAAGTACATTACATATATATTCAAAAAATCTAACCATTTTCAAGAAAAACGTATAAGGATGAAAATTAGTCTGTTTTCAAACCTTAGATTGGAAAAAAACCTATACTGTGAGAAAAACAGTCAATATTAAACTTGAAAATGAATTCAATATAAATTTTAAGTTCAAATAATTAATCTTCATAATATTAATTGATGTTAATAATTATAAAAGTACAATTATTAATTTTATATTAACACAACTCTGTATATATATAAAAGTTATATTTACTCTAAAACTTGTAAATATATAGAAGTTATCTTTACAAGCTATTCCAAAAATATTATATAAACATATCCGTGCAACGTGCAGACCCTATATCTAGTTTATTACTATAAAGAAGTTATAACTTATAGAGGTGTAATTATAAAATTTAATATTTTATTTTTTATTTTATAATTCACGTTTTAATAGTATGTATTAGGATTTTAATTCATTATTTTTGTAGTTATTGCAGCAATTAGACAAAAAGAGAAAAAAAAAATCCTGATTATGATAGTATTGAAATACAAAATGTTTCGTGCCAAAAAACTCTAAACATGCTTAAAAAGTTAGAAATATTTTAGCTTTAACTAGAAGGTATTCATGCTAGCGAGTTATTATGTATCCACAAGTTAAAATATGTGATAACAACTCTAAAATATAAATCATTATTTCAAAAAACTTTAGATTAAAATTTTATTTCGTCTTAAACGTTTAATGTAATATAATATTTTTTTTTCTCGCAATATATAGATAATTATTACTATGTGAAACAACTTTCTTAATATGGTAATTAGAAAAATTATAATTTATCATAATATAAAATTTATTTTTATTTATAATTATTATAAATCTAAAATGATAATTAATAATTGGTTTATGATGAATTTTTCGTTAGGATTGTGAAAGAATGTTTAGGAGATTCTTTTGTGGGCGTTTGTTGTTTTAGTAACAGAGGAATGAATATGAGCTATCTCATGGGGGATAAAGAAAAAAAGAAATGCCAAATTACCAATAAATTCCCTGTAAAACATATCTCCTAATCCTGAATAAATTGAGTAAATTAAATCCAAATTTTTGATAAAGCCAGAAGTGTAGCCGATCGAGAAGCAAATCAAATGGGGAACGCTCAATCACCTCCTGCAGATCCTCGCTTCGTTTCTGCTTCCAGGTTTTTCTCCTTCTTTAATTTCTCAGTCAGTCTTTCTTTATATATATGCATATATAAAACTTGAGCAATTTTATTTTTCTTTTAGAGCATTCACTCAAAATGAACTTGAAGAACTCAAATCATTGTTCATGTCGCTGGCTGCCCAGTCACAAAACAACGCCAAGCACATATCTTCCTCTGTTTTTCAGGTTCTTTTTCATAATCCCACTTGCCTTTTTTTTTTTGGGTGTTTTATTGTGTAAGAGTGTTGTAGTGATATTTTGGATTGAATGGCTAGGTATATTTTGGATTGAATGGTCCTCTTGGAGAAAGAATGTTCGATTTAGCTACCCAGAATCGCAAGGATCAGAAACTTTCTTTCGAAGACCTTGTAGTCGCTAAAGTAAGTATTGTTATTCAACGATAAGCGTTAGTCTTATGCATATACTTATGAATAAAAGTACTTACGTTGCATGGTAAATGTTGCTGGATTATGATCATTAGAGTAGAAAATTTTGAATTAAAATTGGATGCATACTTCTAACTTGTTGATACTTATTTTTTGCTTGTAGAGTATGTCTTTAAGCCATAAAGCAGTGGTATCTGGGGAATTTTTGTGATCTAACTTAAATGCAAGACAATAAGAGTAGTTTGAGGGGCACCACCGTGGTGCCTGGCTGAAACCCTGTGACGCTCAAGTGTTCAAGGGAATTGTATCCTTCAACACTTGAGTTAATAAAGTTAAATTTTAATGCAAGATCTAATGTCCCTTTTATTAGGGTTATGCATTGATGAGTTGTTTGTAATGCATTTTATGGACAGAAAGTCCTTAGCAGATAAGAGAATGAAACAAGTAAAAATTTGTGAGAGGTAGAATATAATAGAGTCATAGAATAGATGAGTGGTAGCGAAAAAAGGATATTAGCCGTAAGTTGGCCAACGAAACCATAATTGATAATATATGAACAAGTGGTTCATTGAGCTACTATACTATTCCCATCATAAAAAGAAATTCAAAATGAGATGAGAGGGAGATATATTGATTCATTCATTTTAAATTCTATCATTTTGTGCCTCTCTCAAAATTGCTGCCTTTTGATTATAATCTACTTAGCAATTTCTCTCTGTAAAACATACGCTAAAAATTTTACAAATACATAAACACACATCAAAGTGGTATTAGCCAATTCATTTAACGGAACCCTCGCTACCTTAAGTGCTGGTGAGTTTTTGTTGGCCACTCTGTTGGACCCCCTGATTGTGTTCCAATTTATCTGGTGACATTGTTTCCCTTAATGAGCCTCAGACACCCAAGATCTTGAGAATGCTATTATGAATTGTTGAAATCACTCACAAATGTATCTGCACTTCTAGCTAATTTTCATACATTTTGCACTCTTCTTTCAGTTGGATCACAAAAATTGTCATTATGCCACGTCTTTTCCACATAAACACACACTGTACTGTGAGAACTATAAACCAGTATCAACAAAACTGTTCTTCTACCTTAATCCATCAATTATGAATTAAGTAGGAAAACTTTACAACTCTCAAAACTGCTATATTAAGATAAATAAACAATAGCTTTTTGATCCATTTAAGTTAGCATTGGTCTCAAGTGTCTGACCCATATTTATCTCTCTCTCTCTCTTTTTGAATTGTTTTTTAACCTTTTACGTATCTCAGGCTACTTATGAGAAAGGAACAAAAGATGAAATTGAAGAGTTTCTTTATCAATTAGTGGACATCAATGATGACGGTATTTTGGGGAGGTAAAAATAAAAAAAAATACTATTTACTTTTTCTTCCTTTTCCTTGTAAAATTTTTATTTCTTCAATATGAAATTTTATATGCTTTTATTCTGATGCTACCTAGTTGATTTTTGCATTATGGTTTATTTTGTGACTACATAACGGTTGAAGGTGTAACTGGCCATTGTTTAGGGAAAATTTCCTGCATAGGATAAGACCAAAAAAAGAAAATATGAAATTAAAAAAAAAAAAAAAATCATAGCACATCAAAACTAAGAAATGAATGATGGAAAATATTTTCATGCTATCTGTTGCTGTTGCAACCAAGTTGATTGAAGAGTTTATTGATATAATCATTCTTTTCTGTTATAATAAGTAATGTGCTCATTTATCTTGATATCTATTTTTATTTTCTTTTATTTGATTGGTATGAAATTTTGGAATCTGGTGTCAGGTCAGATCTAGAATCTGTTCTAATTGCAATGCTGGACAGTATATTTTCCACGAAGATTTCTGGAACTGGTTCGAGTTCTCATCAGGACAGTGTGAATGTATTTCTTAATGCTGGAATGTATTCAAAAAATGAAGGATGTAACGAGGAAAGTATGTCTTTTGAAGATTTCAAAGCTTGGTGCACACTTATTCCATCTGCCAGGAAGTTTCTTGGAAGCTTATTGATGCACCCAGATCCAGGTCCATTGCTCTTGTTCAGTTATCTGTGCCCACTTACTGGCTGCTCTGTTACTTTATTGTTATCTATTAGTATTATTTTCAGAGATTGGATATAATGAAGTAAACTAAAAGTGTACTAATTGTGCTTTAAATTTAACATGATTAACTAAAATACATATGATCTGTATGATGTGGATTGGTGATCTTCAAACTAGTCTTTTTCCATTGGCCATGTTGTATGTGTAGTCACAGGTTTTGCATATTTCCTTTATTATGAATACCACACTTGTTTCTGAGTTAAAAAAGAGATAAATAATATGTTCTATATGTTCTTAAGTAGCCAGAAGTTGTGATATTTTTGTGTAAACCTTCATTAGAACTTTCACATGTCTGAGTCATCTAATCTCAAGTCTAAATTGTTCTTGTGTAGGAAGACCAGGATGTCAAGTTCCTCGATTGCTGCATTTAGAGAATATTGATTCTAGTATTTTATTGTTGAGGAAGGAATATGCATGGCACATTGGAGGAGCTCTTTCCCAGCAAGAACTGGAGGAATGGAAACTCTTGTATCATAGTGCTCTGAATGGCTTAAGTTTCAACACATTCTTAGGCAGCATATCGTGAGTTACTTTTTTGTTTGTGTAGTTATCTGATAGCTATGAAAATCTAATACTTCTCTAACTTGATTTTTAGCAATGTTGATGTATTATTTTGTAGTCAGCTGCAACTTATTGTCTGTTTCTGAATGTTCATCTGTGCATGTAATATTCTGAGCAAATTTAAAAAGGGACATGCTTTTGCAGTCCTAATATGCATGAATTACTGTTGGATATTTGTGCTGTTTACTGACTTATATTGAAATTTCTCTGTCAATATTAGACCGTTTAAACCCTGTTGTCATAGATTTTGTGGGATATGATATGCAATTGGTAGTAAATGTTTCACTTTGGCATTAATGGTTAGGTTCTGAGTTGACTTCTTTAGCTAGTATAATAAGAAGGCATTTGAGGAAAAATTCCTGTCGATAACGTTATCTATTCATACGTATGACTTCGGTAATTTGTATAGTACAGGTTTTCCCGTGTTGAAATAACGATAATATCCCATGCTGTCTTTATCTTTGTGTCTGAATTCTTTTCTCTTGTTCTTCTGGGAAATATAAATGTCAAATATATTCTGAATTTATTTCAGAATCTCGGTTGCTGGAACTATATTTTAAGTAGAAGTGGATGGGTAATTGTTCATTTGACCTGCAGAAATGATGAAGGACCTACTTTGTTGATTATTAAGGACAAAGAAGGATACATATATGGAGGTTATGCTTCTCAGCCTTGGGAGAAGCATGGTGATTTCTATGGAGATATGAAATCTTTTCTTTTTCAGCTCTACCCAAAGGCAGCTATATTCAGGCCTACTGGAGCAAACAATAATCTACAATGGGTACATCTACCTCTTTTTCATATTTTTTGGGAAAAAAAAAAAAAAAAACAACTTTAAATTTGTGATTTCAAGGATTGCCAGATTATATTCATTGTATTTCTTATTTTTTCGATAAGGAACAAGGGAATTGTATTTTGCATGTTTCCATCCAGTAAGTAAATAAACCCTTACAAGAACCTATTTGAATCCTAATACATTTACAATCTTATCATTTCAATATGGTGTTTTAATAGAGTAAGACATTTGGACAACATAGAGCCTTCCATTTCCCGGAAAGAAAATTTTGCTTTTAGCAAAAAGTATCCTGCCACTTTACATTGCCTTTGAGACATTGATCTCATTTGTTGACTGGCACAAAACTTGCTGCATCCATCTTTTGTTTTGTAGGATTTAAATGCATATACTAGCCAAACAAAAAAGATAAGACAATTTTGGTAAAAAAAGAAATTTAGTTGGCTTGCAAACTGACTTAATCTTTGTTGGCAAAAACTGGGGATTCATTTAATGAAACAAAAAACTTAGCACTAAAAAACTTGTGACTGAATGATTATTGTAATTCCAAAAAAAGTTTATGGACCCTCTTGTGCACCGGTTTTGGCTTTCAGGACTTCCCACGTGAAGCACTTAGCAAATTTTAGGTAAATTTGATTTCAACAGGTGAATTAGTTCCATTACTAAAGCCACCTTACAGTGAATAAGTGATGAAACTTTTCATTTTCAAACCTTAAAATGGTTATCAAACATGCAGTCTTGGTCCTGTGTTGTTCATCTGACATTACTATGTGGGAAGTTACTCATTTAACATTTCTCCTTGTGGATGAAGAAGGGAGAATTTCTTAATCAGCTTTATACATATGAATCTGGTGGTGGTTATTTGTGTGCAAATAATTTATGTTGCTACCTTGTATGGGCAGTGTGCAGTGAATTTCAGTTCAGAGAGCATCCCTAATGGAATTGGTTTTGGAGGACGTGTTAATCACTTTGGTCTTTTCCTCTCGGCGGGCTTTGACCAAGGGCATACCTTCACTTGCACCACATTTGGCAGCCCTTCTCTTTCCAAAACTGGTCGAATATATCCAGAAGTGATAGAATGCTGGGGAGTTATTAAAGGATCACAGAAAGAGAATCAGGATGCTGTCAAAGGTACCGTATTAGATAGATTTAAGGAGGACCGCCATATGCTTAACATGGTTGGGCTTGCAAATTCGAGTGAGTAATGTATGAAATTTCCGGCACTGTATCATTATAGTTTGTAACTTTTAACGGTCTGTCAACAGTCCGAACAATCATCTTGTATATAGACGCCATCAGGCTGTGTGTCAAATATCTGAACATCATTGTTACTTAGATATGTTTGTATATGGTGCTCTATATACAGTGGATTTTTGGTGTCAAAGTTTTTCCTTGATACACAAACTTGTATTAATGCTTTATTTGTGGATTCTCGCTATGAACTATTGCTAGTTTCTGTTTTCTTCTGGGGTCCATAGTTTTGCATTTTGCATAAAAAAAGTGCTTTTCTTCTAAATTTGATTGTTGACTGGTTTCACAACAGTTGAATAAAGCTGAAGTTACCAGTTGCGTTCAATTTTCACAAACTTTGCATAGGGTAGAAAAATTAAAAAGTCCCTAACAACACAATTTTAACTTGCCCATCAAATCATATGCTAATAAGCAGAACCTAGAAAGAGCATCCGAATGTTTTAAATTTGTTATGATTCCTAAGTTTTTTTAACTTCGTGCAACAAAAAACTCTTGAAGGAATCGCTATTTTGTGCTAACATTGTCCAAAAATACGTACAATTTCACCTACTTTCATTTCTGACCCATTTTACCTTCTGTCTCTTAGTGATCATGATGAGTAAAATATTCATACAGTTAAGTACCCAAATTTGGACGCACTAGTTTACTTCTAGTCAAACTTCCAAATTATTCCGGCAAAAATGCCAGTAATGTTCTAGTTTCTTCCTTCATTAGAAATTGTTTTTGTTAGTTCTGACCAAATCGGATGTGTATATATACATATACAAAGAAATGCATCACCAAAACTTCAACGCACACTCTGCCTTAATAGGATGAAAGGCTCTAGTTTGTTAGGTTCTATTGCCAAGAGGTAACTTGACAATATTTGTCTTTAGTAGTCCTAGTTCTGTCATTCCATTGTGTTGATGATGAATCAACTATCTAATCATTTAATTATATGCAGGCTAGAAGGAAAAGTCGCGCTGATTACTGGCGGTGCCACTGGCATTGGTGAGAGCAGCGTGAAGGTATTCGTCCAAAATGGTGCCAAGGTTGTTATCGCAGATATCCGAGATGATCTGGGTCAAACTGTCTGCGATGACATTGGCTGCAAAAATTCCATTTCTTATGTCCATTGTGATGTTTCCAGTGAATCTGATGTGCAGAATGCAGTTGATACTGCCCTCTCAAAGTATGGTAAGCTTGACATAGTGTTCAGCAACGCAGGAATTATAGGGAACCGAGATCCGAAAATTTTAGGTGTTGATTATGAAAACTTCAAGCGGGTTTTCAGTGTAAATGTTTATGGTGCGCTCTTGATGGGAAAACATGCTTCAAGAGTAATGATTCCACAGAAGAAAGGCAGCATTATATACACAGCAAGTGTTTCTTCAGTGATAGCTGGTGATGTTCCACATGCATACATAGCATCAAAGCATGCTGTTGTGGGATTAACCAAGAACTTGTGTGCTGAATTAGGGCAGTATGGGATTAGAGTAAACTGCATTTCCCCATCTGGAGTGCCGACGCCAACACTGAGGAATGCAATGGGTGGAATCGACAAGAAGACAGCACAGGAGTTAGTTTCTGCCAAGGCGAACTTGAGAGGGGTGGCGTTAGAGGAGGAAGATATAGCTGAGGCAGCGTTGTTCTTGGGAAGTGATGAGTCCAAGTATGTGAGTGGGCTGAACCTTGTTGTAGATGGAGGTTTCAGCACCACCAATCGTGCATCAGGAAAAACTTGAAAAAACTGGTTTCTTAAGTTTCTTTTCTTAAGTATTCGTTTGTTGTTGATTACCCTCATTTAATTTTGCTTGTTTTTATTGAAACAAATGCAGATTAGAAGTGTCTTTTAATAAAATTGAACAGCATTTATTCCTATTCAGAGACTACAGGACAATGGGAATAAATGAAGCTCGTATTCTCTAAAAAATTGTATTTCTGGACAAAATATTGTCCTTGATGTTCACTTGCTCAAACTGAAAAATGGTTGAAGACCATACATAGAGTTTACAAGACTAATCAATTTAACTTTAACATACACATCTCGATATAAAAAAGGTCCACCTGCTTGCTGAAAAGTATTAGCATAATTCATCTTAGTTAACTCGAAAACTTAAGCTCAAATTAATGAAATTTTGCTCTAATGTGTAAATTTTAACTGGTAAGAGGGATTCAAAGCAAAAGAAAGATGAGGTGCTGATAGGCAGAAAGAGAGTGGTAATGAACCATTGAAACTTCAGGCAGGTTTGATGCAAGCAAACTATCGTGCAAACTTTTTTTTTGGATAAGGTAAGTATGTATAAAAGACCAAAAACTATCATGCAAACTGCATACATGCAGTGCTCAAGTAATGGTTCCAAAGAACAAAGCAGAGGATAGTAAATATTTCAATCATTACTTCAATCTCTTATGCTTAATGCCATCACATTGTCCTGTAACAGTATCAAAGAATACCACACTAGGCTAACCAAAACTTCAGTGCAGAGATGGAATAGTATTTAAGGTTAGATTGCAGGTCCCGGTTGCTACTTCCTACAACATAGTTTTGAATATTATACTTCATAAAATTCTGAGATTCAACATAATTTTAAGCAAAACTCAATTCAATAAATAGTAAAATACCCAAAAGTTTTACTAACAAAAGTTTCAAATAAATTCTATGAACATTAGCAAATTTTAGAAAGGATTTAACAACTTCACAGACGTTAGTGGGATTCCCACCTATTCTTTGTAGAAAAGAAAGTTCAACTAGAATAAATCAAACCTCAAACAAGGCCAATGGCATTTTTCTTTCGAAACTTTATCTTCTGCAAAAATTAAACTATAAACCTAATAAAGTTTGTAACATCAATCAAGTTTATAACTAATAATATCGCATAAAATAAACAAAAATGAAACTATTCGATTAGCATAACACCAAATTTTTCCAAAAAAGCAAAACTAAAATCTTCAATCTGAATCAAAATTTTACCAAAAAATTCGATAAAAACAAAAACATTAAAAAATAATATAAAAAAAGACACCCACTAAATTCCACACTCTTTAATACCTCCTCCTAGCTTCACCAGCACGTCCAAACTCGAGTGCCGGTGTTGAAACCGGGTCGACCCGGCTAAGACCAGGAATCTCATTCATTCCAAGAGCTTCAAGCATGTCAAGGGTCTCCTTATCGACCTCAATATGATCAGTTTTGATGGCGCTCTCATCTGGGACGAAGTCCATGTGCCGTTCACGCTCCTCCTCTTGAAGCTTCAAGGAGATGCCCCGAACCGGACCCTTCTGGATCCGTTTCATCAAGTGGGTAGAGAACCCGGCGATCTTGTTACGCAGTCGTTTCGAGGGGATGATGGCGACCTCTTCCAGGATCTTCTTGTTGGTGTGGAAGTCGAGGGTCATGCGAGAGTAGTAACGTTCGATCACTTGGCGTGAAGATTTCTTCACTGTTTTTGTACGGACGCGGCCCATTTTGGCGTTGAATCAGAGGGAGAGGCTTTGCCGGGACTGAAACGAGGGTTTTGGAGGAGGCGGGAGAATTTAGGGTTAGGGTTTGGGTTAGGGTTTTGTTGGGTGTATATATGCGGTTTCTGTTTGAAATGGATTTTGCGCAATGTGATCTAAATGGGCCAATGGCCCTAAAAATCTGAAGTCCATGTATAAATCTAAATATTTTTATTTTTTTGTTATATTTAAATTTTTTTTTTTTTTTTGGGTTTTTTTAATAAGGATAAATAAATCTATTCTGAACTCAATTCAGCATTATTTAGGAGTTTACCAACTATTCATAATATCTTGTTTTAATTATATTTAATTAATTAATTCTATCAGTCACATACATTTGACCAAATAAACCATCTCTTGATTGGTAAGTCTTAAATCAAGTGTCTAAGCAATTTTTGGGAACTATTTAGCACTTTTTTTTTTTTTTTTTTTTTAAATAATCTCGAGAGGCCAATTTTTAATAATTTTAGGGACCATTTAATAATTTAAAAAAAATGTTAGAGTCTTTGAAATTCATCGATTTCATCAGTTTTTAATAGTTTTATTATATACCTCACTCTGTATTCATTTCCTTCTGAGATGATTTTGTATGTGTAATATTAAATGTAAACAGTTCTTATATCATTACTTTCAAGTGACATAGAATTTTGTTCAAGATTAACATTACTTGAATTTAAATCCCTTGTATATTTTCTAGAGATACATATTGCTTTCATTTTCACAATGTAGTTAATATACAATGAAGGTACCTACACTGCCAAGTGAACGCAAGATCCCTAGCTACTAACTACCACTAGCTAGCCTAATGATAAAAGAGCAAAGGAGGATCTAATATGATCTCCTAAGTTTGAGTTTAATAGTAAAAGAGCAAGAGAATGATCTAACACGATCTCCCAAGTAGTAGGATCTAACATGATCTATCGAGTTCGAGTCTCACGACCCTTAATAAGGGCGGCTACTAGAGCTCTTATCCAATCGGTAGTTCCACGATCTTGAAAGATTAGTTAAAGTACATATAAACTTGCCCAAACACCCTCGGTTATTAAAAAAAATAAAAAAATAAAAAAATAAAAAATAAAAAATAAAAAACCCCTCACTATGAATCTACAATACTTGTGTTGAAACTCTCTCTCTCTAATTATAATATTTTTATATGTTGTTGATACGTGATTTTGACACCAACGACCTCGCACGTGCAAAGTGCTAAGCAGGTCTTAGTAATTACACGTGATATGATTATGAGAGTTGATTATGCAGCTGAGTTGATATATGTAGAAACATAAAATCAAAGACTGAAAAGGGAGATTTTTATAGTGGTTCGGATGTTTAAAGCGAATCCTATATTCACTGTTATTTTTATTATTCTCTGACTATTTTTCTGATATTGCCTGTAAGGCATACAAAAATGGAGAAATGTTTTGTTTATAGAGAAAAAATAATAAAGCTCAAACATATGCCTAGATCTCATATGCCCAACCAGCCTCCTTTTCATGAAGAAAGTTGTTAATTTATACATCTTTGAGCTCAATGTAATTAGTGTTTTAGCAAGTTGCCTGACACATGGAGAGCTCTCATTCATCCTGATTCTTTATTTTGATAAAGGTGGGACAAGTATTATATAATATCTCTTTGAGGTGGTTTAGGTTTTAACAGCTAATACCCTTTGCCTTTAAGTGCTTATTGAGCTCTAATTGGTGGTGCTGACATCAATGTGTATTTTCGGTACAACAGAACCCCCTCAGTTTTTGGAGTGTGTAATTGCACTTCAAAAACTTAAGTCTTTGATTTGAATGGCTATCGCACTATAGGTTCCAGTCTAGAACTGTGCCTGGCGTGATCGGGTGCTGGGAGCTATGACTGCGATCTGAGAGCTTGGAGCGATCTGAAGCTAATCACGATTTGATAATTGACATAAAATGTCTAATAGATGAATTCCTAGAGAGAATTGAGCATTAGAAGTCAAAACGCACAGTTTAGACATCTTAAATGAACATGTCAACTTAAAACAACTATAACTTTTGATCCGGGAAGAGTTTTGGAGGCCATAAAATATCCACGAAAAAAATTTTTTAAGCTCTACGTTGTGGCAATCGAGAAACCCAGTTAGGACCATTTTCAGGGCCAAAATCCACCATTTCGAGGCTGTTTTGAGTTTTTATACGCGTTTTTTCTAACGTTGGCAACTAGTCGCAATTTGAGAACTGAGAATTGATCGCGATCTGAGAGCTGAAAACACAATCTGTGGCTGTTCGCAATCTCAGAGCTGAGAGCTGATCGCAATTTGAGAGCTAGGAGTTGATCGCGATCGGATAGCTAGGAGTTGATCCCGATTTGAGAGATAAGAGTTAATCGCGATCTAATAGCTAGGAGCTGATCACGATTTGATAGGGGCTCGATCTGAGAGCTTGAGGTGTGCGATCTAAATGATCTGACGCACGATCTCAAGGCACAGAGCTTGATTTGGAATGCGCAATCTGAAAGCTTAATGAGCTCGATTAGAGAGCATAAGGAGCTCGATCATAGAGCATAAGGAGCTCGATCATAGAGCATAAAGAGTTCAAGGAGTTTGATCAGAAAACGCGAAGCTTGATCTAAGAACACAAGAAGTGCGTGTTAGTAAACGCTCCCGTATACACAGCGGAAACAAAACAAATATAATATAGAGATCGTTTACATGAGCCAAGATCAAGGGTATAATTTTACAATTTATATTAAATAAAATCTGCAGAAAAATAAATCTGAGTTTAAAGAAAACAAACGCACGTTGGAGGCTCCTTCAAATTTGTCGACGAATGTTTTGCTATTGATCCAAGTGTAGGATCGAACCTGCATAGTCCACAAGAAGACAATCTCAAAAAGAACTAAAGAGGGATTTGCTAGATTTTCTTTGGCTTCAAGATTAAGAAGAAAGCAAATCAAAAGGAATTTGATTTAGGCTAAAACCCAAAACTGGCGTGGGAGGAGATGGGGCTGCTGTGTGTGTTTTAATTTCAAGAGAAATCAATTAATTTAATTAATTAACACACATTTTTCCTTTTATAGTTAATTAAGTTGCCCTAATCCCATATGGAATAGGCTTAGGCTCCAACCCAAACGCCCCATGTTGCCAAACACTCCCAATTTGATATATTTTATTTTCCATCATTATCTCAATTAAAATCAATTAATATATATTTAAATATATATTAACATTTAACAATAATGATAATATATTTAAATATGTGCGGACACATATTTAAACGTAATTTCACTTATTTAATTTTTCTAACAAATTAAATAAAGGCTACGACCTCAGCAAATTTAATTGCACTGTGAAATTACCAAAATACCTTTTCGCCTTAAAAGACGAAAACGCCCTTCTTTCTTCTTGGATCTTAAATTATCTTCTATGTGTGTGACCCATAGGCTCCTCATTATACCGGCAGTGTATAGTATCGTGATTAACACCAATTAATCGTCTCACTAATACACAGACCAAGATTGGCCCCTAACAAGGCATCATGGCCATCCGATAGATTCGGATTCAGCAAAATAGCTACCTGTCAATGATATAGTTACCGTGCAATTCGATCTTTTCATCATAAGTTATCTCGACGAGACAAAGGCATAGAAATAGTGTCAACCTTCGGTTACTCTTGATATTATTTATTCAGTTTCTGGACCAATGACCCGTATTATAAACTGGATAGAGCAACAACTCAATCCTACTGTGGCCACAGTTTTAGTGTCATTGTCGTATACTGAATTACGCCGTGAGATAACTTCTCCTGTACCTGGGAATGATAAATCCTTTGTCAATCCACCATAGTCTTGATACACTCATTGATGCAGCCAATCACCACCGTATTGACAGCTCTGAAAAGAACTACGTTAGGCTAGTGTCAAACTACACCAATCGGTGCACAAGGCACTCTGGTGATCTCAAGTCTAAGGATCACATACACCACCATTTGTTAGAGGATTTATTCCATAGACACTAGGGTTACCATCCATATGGAATCCTCTGGAGGGTCAGTCCAGTGAACTTGCTGCGGTGTAACCGCCTACAACAAGCACCCATGTGTTGCACCAGGTTGTCACCAAACAACCTTGACAAGTGAGATCAGTCACTGCCTTTCGACAAGGTCGTTCAACACTATGATAGCCTTATCGTATTATCTGTGCCCTTACTTCAAAATAATACTAGGGCTATGGACGTTTCTAGAATGGCCACCATATGTGCTCATAGGGTTCTCACTATCAAGATTTGAAACACTTGATACTCTCGTCACGGTTCTACCATTCTAAGAACATATATCAATACATATTACAATAATAATGATTTACGCGATATAGTATAAAATGCCTTTTATTGATTAATGAACATTATTACAAAGAGTCAATTCCACAATAATTGATTGGCTCTAGGACCCCTACTCCAACAGTGCGATTAGAAAACGCAAAGCTTGATCTGAGAACACAATGAATTCGATCAGAAAACGCGAAGCTTGATTTGAGAACAAAGTAGTTCGATCAGAAAGCGCGCATCTGAGAACACAAGCAGTTCAATTAGAAAGCGCAAAACTTGATCTGAGAACACAGACAGTTCAATTAGAAAGCGCAAAGCTTGATTTGAGAAAACAAGGAGTTTGATAAAAAAGCGCAAAGCTTGATCTGAGAACACAAGCAATTTGATCAGAAAGCACGAAGCTTGATCTGAAAACACAAGCAGTTCGAATAGTTTGGCGCTAAAAGGATGGCATGATTTGGATAAGCCCTCCATGTTTTTCCAGCAAGTTTTAACTTTTTCAAAATACTGAAGCCTGTTTTAGATCAGAGCTCCCAAATCGTGCGCGTGATTTGGGAGATCTGGCCATGTGATCTAAGAGCTCTGATGTGTGCGATATGGACGATCTAGGCACGCAATCTAAGAGCTCTGATGCGCGTGATATGGCCACGCGATCTGGGAGTTTTGATCTGAACAGGCTTCAGTATTTTGAAGAAGTTGAGACTTGTTGGAAAAACATGGAGAGCTTATGCGAATCATGCCCTCCTTTTAGTACCAAACTATTGATGTGTGATTTT